CATGGTTACTGATAGGTCCTTTGTATCTATTTCATGTTTTTGTTCTCTACAAATTCTGTTTTACTAATTATTTTTAAAACAATAAGGTGATAGCTTCAGTGGTACTGAGATAGGATCCCAGTTTTTTTTTTTTTTTTTCAGAACAAATAAAAAAAAACTAACTTTTACAGCTGAATTTATGATTTTCTTGAGTTATAATTCAGACTTTATTGAAAAAGGTTATTTTAGTGAACCTTTTTCACTTTTTTAGTGAAAGTGAAAATATGTAAAATTCCTAAATTCTGAATGTATATTGACCTAATAGGACATAGAATTTTAATTGAACCTAATTGAATAGATATGTCGTCTTATGCAGCACTCTTTATATATTTGAATCCCTTGCCCTGTTTTTAATTTCATAGCTTTCTGTGCCCCCATGAAAACACGCTGGGCCCCTCTTACATTTGGTCTAGTACCGTCACTGCCCACAGAGGAATTTAACACATGGGCTGCAAGAGTCTGACCTAGACTATTGAACTATTAATCATTGATCCAAAGTCCTCTTAACAGACTTAAGTTTGCATTTCATTTGGAAAACAGAATACTTTGGAGCATAAAAAATAAAAACTTTTTGATGTCTTAGAAATGCGGTCAAGTCCAAACATAACTTCAGTTTCTCCATCCAGCCTGAGATGCTTTGGAAAGTGCTGTTAGTTTGTAAATGGGCAAAGTTGGTAAAGACGTACCCGGGTGTTGACTCAGTGAAGCTATGGAAATGTGCTCAAGATTTTTACTTTCTTGCTGGATGAACTGCTTTATGCCTTCCACCTCCTGGAGCCAAAATACTTTCTTTGCGGATGCAACATGAGACAATAAAGTTCAAGGTGCATGAATACTTTTTCTTGCCATTTTAAATACAGCTTTGATTAGACATCCAAGGTCTGCTGCAGCAGAATGACTGCTGTATTATTCTGCAGTAGATTCTGACGTCCACTGATGTAGCATTACCCCCTTGCTTCTGGAAGTGATGGTCCTGAGGTATAAAAGCGCAGGATTGCAAGAACAATCCTCATATTTTATAAGATTAAATGAGGAAATTAGTAGAAATAAAAACACCACATGCATAAGAATCAAAGTTCATACAGCAAATAACAGCAATAAAGAAATCCAATTGAAGTTCTGCATCCCCACAAATCACAATAACTCCTCTAATGAAAGGAGAAATAAGTAAAAGTTTACCTCTTGACAACTATTCTTAAAGAGATAAATCGATTTTTATGTTTTCAGACATAAAAGTTATCATAATAAAAATTTTCTAAAACTGAATTAATGCATTTAAGTTATGTTTTAGTTGTATTACTCTGCTTTTACACCAAAGCCTTATCATATAAAAATAGAATTTCTATTTTTGCCTTCGAAAGCTCAGTTCAAACTAGTTTTGTCTTTAAAATAAAAATTATTTTAGAATAAAATGTATTAAATATTCCAATAAGAGGTCAACAACCAAAAACCATCAGAGAGAAAGAATAAAAATCATAATTATTCATTAAATCAACACGGTTTTCACTTCATAAATGCACCAACTGACTATATGCATGTTGATGAACTTTCTTTGAAACTAATAGGAAAGTTTGACAAATTTATTTAAAATATCTTTTAACTGTAAACACATTTTTTCCTCATGTGTCACTACCCAATGAGATACTGGTTTCTATCAGAAAGTGATCAGTGAGTTTCATTTAAACAGACCCAGTGCTTGAAATTAAAATCAAATCAACTTAAATCAGTTTTTTTTCTTAAATCAGAAAGTCTCATCAATATATTAGACATGATTCCTAAAAGGATGGGAAAACTGACAACAGTGGATCTAATCCATTTTTAACATATAAAATCCCTAAAAATTGTTTAAAATCATCGTATCTTCAGAGAAGTGAAGTAAAACCTCTCAGTTTGTTTTTTTTTGTAATAAAACCAAAGATCCTGCAGGTGTTTAGAAAACAGTTCCGTATTTATTGCGAAATACTTTTGTACAGAATCGAACAGAGAAAACATCAACAGAGGAGGAATGGACAGTAAGGCCAACATTAGAAGTCCGAGAGTTGAACTGTACAAACACCAACAGTGACGTTTGCTGCTTTATTTGATAACTTTTTATACAGAAACCGTTTCACCGCGCTCACAGCAAATCTCCTTGTAGGAGGAAAAGAAAATTAAAACAATTTCACACATTTTTCTGAAAATTTATTGCCTCATCTGCAAACATATCAATGCAGAACAACAAAGGATGATCCTTAAATACGGAAACCTCTGTAAGAAACATGTCCCTTGATTAATAATGTCTCACGAAATATAAATATATATATATATATGTTTATATTATATATAAGTATATAGTTGTAAAAAGCTCCAAACGATCATGTTTTGGGAATGAGAGTAGCATCACCTGTCATGGAGGTTCAGAGGTTGACTGCTGAAGCTAGAAGCCTAACACCACAAACTGCAGAGATTATACTTCTGATCCCAAACTACGTTTTATTTAAATCACACCGCCGGAATAATGAACCCGCTCCTCCTCTTTGACCTTGGGGTGGCGCTGTTAGAAGAGTGCATCTGTGTAGTAACGGGCGTGCATGTTCATGCACATCCTCATGCGATTTGGCACTGATGTAGAAGTTCTTTCCTCATAGCATACCACGAGGAAACTCTTAGCTCTTTTCTTGATACGCTTTAGTTTTTTTCTTCACACATTAAAAAAGGCAGCGTGAGACAGGATACATCATCTCCCCTACCAACATTCAAATGTACATCTTAAACATTGGCTCTCCCACAATCTGGGAGCTGCTGAAGACATAAAAGCCTCCTGTCTCTGGAAGTCCCACATAAAAATTGTAAAATTAAGTTTAAATTAATATGAGACTAGATTGTTTTTTTTTTTTTCATATATGCATAAGCCCTTCAAGAAAACACGACAACACACTGAACAGGATTAAGCTGATGTACAATCTAGAACTCCAGAGGAGAAAAAAGGGACGGCTTGCTTCCGAAATACTCGACTGGTGAGACAAGATATGGATTTTAGACAGAAACAGAGTCATGTTTTTGATTCTACATTGCACAATACACCTGATAAAAACTTTAGCATAAAAAACACATGATGAGCCTCTTTTAAAGGGGAAATCCAGTGACAAACCCAAAGGAGCAGAACAAAGTGGCCCTTTTTAAAACGATAGGGGTATTTCTTTTCTGTTGGCTCAGATTGTATGTCTGTTAGAACCATTTCACACTTGGCACTAAAGTCTGTCCTGGACTATCCAACCACATTGGGACAAACCTAAATACAGGTGAGGACAAATTTCCTTGCACCTCCCTTACGGGCGACCTGTTCGCCCCCCCCCTGTCTGCTATCACAAAGCCCACGTGACTGAAATGTCATCATCTGTGCTACTGGCTGTGTGCACCGGCGGGGACATTAATGATCCCAAAGTAAAAAGTGCATGCTCATCTGTGAGGTCCAAGTGGCTTAAATTCACAGAGGTACCTAAAAGCTTATAGAGTCTGAATGAAATCCATCCTGGGAGACATAGAAGGACCCCCACTGACCGGACCTGATCACACTAAGAGAGCAGAGGTAACTGACAACTCTCCTGTGAAAGTAACAAAAAAAAACTTTTCATGAATAGCGTTGCAATAATCAGCACTATTTTCACCAAGACAGATTAAGCTGGTGTCTGAACTCTACTGATACAGTTTTCTCAGTTAAGAGATTTAATTAACTCTGTTAAAGATGCTCTAAAACAAGCCATGGTTGTGTTAATCATTGTATATCATCTGGGGTAAAGCTGAAAATGTTTATGCGGTATACTGTATAGTTTATTTCCATCTTAATATTTTTTATTAGTTGACTGATCCTCCTGCAGTCACCAGGTCATAAAAAGACTCATAAAAAACACAGATTAACATTTTCTGGTTTTCACACCCATGTTTCATAATATTGGTAGTAAAAGCGTCAAGTAGCCGATGGCCACTAGCCTGCACTCAGTGCTGTGCTCTCAGTCAAAATCTTTATTGTCTGTGCGCTGACATTGAGGTTTTTTTTGGGGTTCTTAAATAGTTTTTTTTGTAACAATACTGTCTGTTACGATACACAGTTAAACTAATGAGTTTGTAACAAAAATAACAAAAATCCAGTTCAATTAATCTACCTCAACAAATAATAATGTACTGTAGTTATAATATGCATTTGTAATGGTACGGATCAGTAGATGTGTTGTTTGTTGCTTTGATGAGCACACTCTGGGATATGACTAATGTACATGTTTATTTGGGGTGGGTATTGCCAAAGAAGTCACGATTCGATTCGAATCACGATTCACAGGCCACGATGCGATTCTATCACGATGCATCACGATACTTGAATTATTGCGATGCATTGCAATATTTTCTCCTCCATGTTTTGTTTTTGAATGACTCGGCGCAGTATCCCACGGCCGGAAATGCTTGTGACACAAGGCAGCGTGCGTCAAAACATTTGCAGCGACATCTACTGGACTGGAAGTTGTATTACACTTGTTTTTGGCTGATGTTCGCCAACCATTCATGCAATTTTATTTATTCATTTTTTTAAATTAATAATCGATACTTGGCGTCAAGAATCGATGCAGTAGATCACGAAAATTAGAATCACGATGCATCATCATGACGATTATTTTGCACACCCCTAATGTTTATGTGAAATTAAAAGTGGGGAAGTGATCTGATAAGCCCTGATTTTAATGCTTAGCTTGAATGGGTGTAATTAGTAAAGCCTAGCTTAGTCTGAGTTGCCCAAGATGCATGTCAATACCAGGTCTTAACAAATTTCTGTATTTATTTGTGAAAATATAGCATTTGGTGCTTGGAATCTAAAAATTTAATCAGATCAGCATTATTGTTTCATTTGGCAAAGCTTTTCATTTTCTTTTGTACATTTTGAAGGGAAAAAGAAATCTTCTTTTTGCAGAATCTGCTTTGTTAATTGTTAGTTAAATGTGCATACACCCTGCATGTATCCAAGTTTTTTTTTTTTTTAACAAATTTTACTTTGTTATTGTTACTTTTCTTCCTCTCAGCAACAATTATATACAATGTGCTGTAATGGAAATAGTTTGAGAGTCTGGGAAAAGCTCTTAAAACATTTATGGATATTTTCCGAGTATTTCCAAGATGCGATACCCTGAGTAGCAAACATAGGCTTGGATTGAACCTCAGTAGAACTAAAATATAAAAACATTTTTTTTTTGCTAAGCAAAGAAAACAAAATAAAATACTTTCACACATAAATAAAATTCTGTAATCAGAAATATATAGACAACCAAAAACGTAACCCTAAAGTGAATAACACAAAACCACAGATTAGCTGTAGCAAACGAGTCATTTTCAGCTTTACAATATGCATACACTCATGCATTATAGTGTGTTTCCCCCTGTGCATACAGACAGAGGGGTTTGGGGTCTAAATAGCAAGCCTCTAGCTTTACCAGCCCTCTGCAGAGCCTTCTGTTGATAGACGTAAATGAGAGCGATGTATTTCGCGGGTTAAGGAGACTGAGGATAACAACTGATCTCTAGGCAGACGTGTAAACAGAAGCGGCGGGAAAACCACAAAGGATGATGGGTAACAGACATCCACTTAAAGCAGCAAAGATCAGACAAAGTACAACAGCTTTGGATGGGAAAAGGAGACACAAGGAGGAACCGTTTGTTTTCCGCTGCTGCTTTACCAACCAGAGGATTCAAAAGGGGGCATTAAGTTAACTTGCCTCAGGCTCAGTTAAGAGTCAGACCTGCTACAGGAATCAAAATTAAAGCAATGCTCCTGCGCTGCTCGAGATGGAAATCTACTAAAATGTAACAGTGGACTCAGAGCGATCTAGAGCAGCGTCTTTTATAAAAGTTGAGTGATTGTTTGATCACTGGCAGGGATGAGGGGCACAAGAGTGGTGCACCTCTGCAGCCCTTCCTGCAGCCTCTATGGGGTCATCAGACCTCGGAGGGCAGTCCGGAGCTCAGACAAACAGCTGGATCCGCTCCCGGATGGTCTGCCTGCAGATGGGGCAGGTCTTTAGTGCGGCGCTGCAGTCGATGCAGGAGGCGTGTCCGCACTGGAAGACCAGCTTAATGTGGTTGTCGATGCAGATGGGGCAGGTGATGCGCTCCTCCATCTGCCTGTAGCGGGACTGCAGCTGCTCCAGGAGGTTGTGCTGCTCAGAGTTCTCTGTGCCAGGGCTGCAGTCCACCTCAGTTTGGTCTGTGGAGCAAATCATCAGCAAGAGTCAGTTTTAGTCGAGTCAAGAGAATTATGTTTTGTTTGTTTTTTTGCAGGCTGTGCAGCTTTGAACAAGGTGAGACTAGTCTGCCATTTCTGTGAGCTACTGTCAATATATTACTGGAATCTAATAAGCGGACGTACACACATTATGCATAACTGAGGGTTGGAAGGAAAATTATGGCTTTCAAATTTTTTTCTGATATCTGAAATCTGATATCTGTAGTATGCATTTGTGTGGCATCCCTCCAGTTCATTTCCAATACCACCTTTTGCTGCCATTATGCATGTCCCTACCAGCTTTCCACATCTAGAGCCAGACGTTCCCAACTATTCATCTTTGCTGTTTTCAGCCACTAGGGGCGCTAGTACTGTACTTCCCATCAGAAGAGAAACCGTTAACCCTGCACTGTCCCAAAATGCAGCAGTCTCCCGCTGTGCTTTGGAGTCTCACAACAGACAACTTTTGACCGGCAGGTTGGGGAGTCATTAAATTCATTGTTCAGAAAAGACACCCCCCCCCCCCCCCTTCTATATCTTTTATCAGACATTCAAAAGTGTGTCTGATCTGGTAAGAGTCATATCTGTTTGTTGCCTTACAACCTCTTAGCACAGTGTGCTTTACAGCGAAACTCAAATGTTTAAGTCCTAAAATAGCAGAAGCTCAAACAAACTGATATAAGAGCCTCCATAAAAAGCCTCTAGGATTGCCCTGTGTTTAACGCCATCCATCCTCCACTCAACATTCCCAGCTTCTTTGTCCCTGCTGAAGGAAAGCATCCTTGCAGCATGACACTGCCTCTACCATGTTCCTCCATGTGGAAGCTCCCTGAGCTGTCTGCTGTGTTTCTGGATCTTTGTGATCCTTTTTGTTCACTAATGCTAATTAACAAACCTCAGAGTAATGCCTTAAAAGACACATACTATGGATGTTACATTTAAAACTAAAGAATAAAAACAATGTATATTTTTTATCCATTACATAAAATCCTTATATACAGAAACCTGCGGTTCTTAAAGCACTAAATGTGAAAATTTCTAAGTAAAGCGAATAGTCTCACTGAAGCTAAAAGATCATTGCAACTTTAATCAAGTCACTTATAGAAAAGGAAAAAAATTAAACCAAAAGTACAAACACATTTATCCACAAAAATACTGTGAATATAAAAAAAATGTACTGTCATGTAAAAAAAACCAATGATTTTGCTAATATATTAAAATATTCGTCATAATATCTAATTTCTTCTTACCTTGTCTTATTTTCTTGGTTATTGTGACCTGGCATTTGATGCATTTCTTCATTCGATGTGCACATTCTGTAAAGACAAAATTAAGGAAACACATCCGTAAAATTAATGACACACAAGACCACCCCCTCCGCGCACCCACGGCTTTCAGACTTACCTTCACAGGCCACGCTGTGCTGGCAGGGGCAGAAGAGAACCAGCAGAGCGAGCTCTGAACAGATGAGGCATTCACTGGGACCTGCTGGCGTGGGAAAAACCAGGTTGGTCATGGTGTTGGGCGTAGTGTGGACGCGCCGCAGGCTTGCACTGCTCAGTCCCTGTCCGCATGTGATGGCCTGGAGACGCTGCAACCTGAACGACAACAAACAGGCATGGGTGCACATCTGAAGTTTCTCCAACACACAATCAACAAGACATTATTTTGGAAATTCATCCCACAACATGGATTTGTTTACTATAAATATCTATCTTCATAATCCTCTTTTCATTTCTAGCCTCTTTTGAATATTTCTATAACCCTATGATTTATTGCTTAGATTTTAAATTACTATTTTCAGTAACTTTGGTTTATTATTCATGCAGCTTTTCGTCAGTCTAACAAACAGATCAGCCCCTTTATGCATTTCTTTTGATGAAATGTTTGAAATGAAACAGATTTTAATATCCAACTAAGTTAACTTAATAAATAATGTTTTTAAATCAGTGTTTCATTTACTGAGAGGAGAAAAAAAATAAATAAATGTTGTTGCCTTCTTTGGTTAAATAATGAATTGTGAATAATCTGATTTTGTGAAAAGAAAAACCTCTATAAAACCTGCCGGACAGCATGAAGAACGATAAAGTCTGGCTGTAGGGTTAGCTTTGTTTGGTAGCTTTGTGAGTTTTTACCTGTGCTTCTCAGAAAAGTTCTTGATGAGCTGCAGCATGGTGCTGTCTGCTACCAGATCCAGCGGACTCTTTCCCTTGTGGTTGGCGTAGCTGATGTCAGCACCTTCCTGCGCCAGGAAACAGGCGATAGCCATGGCGACGTTCAGCTCAGTGTTCCCCAGGAGACCCGAGGAGTTCAGCTTTGGACACAGAAAGAGGTGGAAAGGATGAAGAGGAAGGCAGGGAGGGAAAGAAACAAGAGTTCAAACGAGAAAGGTAGGATTGAGCTAAAACAAGTCAAGGATGGAGTTAAATCAAGCATCAAAGGAGGAAGTTAAATTCGGGTGATCCAGATTTAGACGGTACATAAACCCACATCTAATCAACACAGAAGAACTCCCTCAACAGCTCATCTGCTGACAGTGGCCAAAACAGCCCTGGGCCCTTGCTGTAAGTCTAGCCACCTTCATGGCTGTGGATGAGTGTTTTTTTGTGTGTATGCTGGCTCAGAGCCCAGGATGCTGCACTGTGTGAGTCAAATAGAGCAATGAGGACAGGTTTTTCATCGTCAAATATTCCCATTGTTTAATGGGACAAACTCAATGAAAGTTTTCACATTAACGGAAAAAGACAAAGGGTCTCCTAATAGGGAAAATTGTTATTTTCATTAAATGTTTTTGAAACCAGGAGGGATAAAAATATAAGACTTTGACCTTTATTAAATGTTGACCTGTATTAAATGTACCGTTAGCAACTCCTGACTTGAATAATCTGGTCATTATAAATGATGGATTAGCACTGATTAATGGACCTTTTGTTTCCAATCAGTGAAGCATCAGGAGCTTAAAGCATTAAAAACTGATTGGAAATCAAGTCACATACTTGGTGCATTTCTTGTTTTACCATGACGTAATTAGCTCAGTAGGTTTATACAACTACTTCCTGCTCAGTCTACCTTTAGGAGGAGCAGCTGCAGTGTCAAAGTCTCCAAAATCATGATTAAAGCTTTCCTTAGTGTAAAAATAGGTTTTATTTACAATAATCACCCTTAAATCAAGCCAAGACATCTCACCTAAAGCTTAACCTTAGCTTATTTCTACACAATTGGACCAACTGGAGAATCGTTTCATCTTCTTCACTTACTAATAGTATCTTTGTGAAACCATCTTTACTTTGAGAAAGTAAATACTTTGTTTAAACTAAGCAAAACTCAAAGAAATCTTATTGTATTTTTATTTTTTACGTTCCTGCTCCAACCTTATTTCTGTCTCTTGAGTTATTCTGGGTTGTTGTGACCTGTTTACCTTATGAGCTGAGGTCCTTTCTCCCGGGTTAACCCAGTTTAAAGCTGAGTGACCTGAATCAACAGGTTTGCCTCCTTTCACCTTTCATCGTGCCGTTAACTGCAAGCTGATTAACAGCTTCATCCTAAACATATCCAGGAAGACTTGAACATATATTATAAGATTCACTAGTGCAGGGTTTGATTATTTGCTTGCTGCATTTCTTGTGTTTTATCCTACTTGGAGAATATATTGATCTCATCAAAAGCGACAAGAACCAGATGCTTCTACTTAAGAGTCAATTATCAATGTCCGGTTTTGTCTTTACGACCTAATTTAGCTCATGTTCACTTCTTTAAGAGTTGTTTTTTTTCCCTCTCTTTGTTTTGTAATTGTCCCTGCAGGCTCTTAACTACGCTCTTGTTTATTTGGACCAAGGTTAGACTTTAAGTGAAACCTTGTTAGCTGGAAAATAATTTTAACCTTAGATGTGATCGAGATGTAAACATTGGCTGGCAAATCTTTTAAGTATGAATTTATATATATTCTCATTGAGGCTATGTTTTTCTGTTTTTAGCATTTCATGGCTTTGATGGTTTGTTTTTGGTTTAGTTTGAATTAGAGGTAAACCGATAAATCAGCCGGCTCATAGTTGCGTTTTTTTTTTTGTATTGGTGGACAGGTGCGGTCATTGATTCTTTAGTGCATTGATCGGTCACCTAAAGGCCTATTTAAGAGTCTCTAAACTCCAGTTAATAATTAATCGATTACTAAATTATTTGACGATTATTTCAATAATCGATTAATCCCGATTGTTTTAGCCCTACTATGATTTAATAAGTCAGTCCACGCTGAATGTTTACATTCCCCGTCTAAGCCTTACCCTGCAGTAGAGCGATGTGGACGAGCAGCCCTCACTGCCCTCCTCTGTGCTGCTGCCCCCTGCTGGCGGGGCGAGCATGACGTTAGCCAGCTGGGGGCGAAGGAGAGCCACGTGCATGGCCGTGTCGCCGTCCTCATCCTCCATGTTGACGTCGGCCCCCTCGTCCACCAGCAGCTGCACCAGGTCCGTGTGGCCCTGCGTGACGGCCAGCTGTAGCGGAGTCTGGTTCCGGTTGTTGCGAATGTTGACGTCACAACGTCCCTGGGAAAAATGAGTAGAAGGCAATTTTATGATTTTTTTTTTTTTTAAGTGGATTTAAATTAATAATAAATGCATCATAAGAGGCAACAGTGAATCTAACAAAATTAGCAGCTGGCTGCCGCTTCCAGCTCACCTCCTTGATTAGGACCTCAGCTACGTCTCTGTGGTTGTTGAGAGCAGCCAGGTGAAGGGCAGAGAAGCCATCTTCCTTTTTCACGTCCACCAGCTGCCGAGCTCGAGCCAGGATCTTTTCTGTGGCCCTGAAGGCAAAATAAAAAAAAACTAAATTTTACCCATCACACCTCTGCTAAAGACTTAGAAGTAGACTCAGATTATACCCTGGAGTCTTGCATCGATTTTACTTGTTTTTTTTTTTTATTTGAAATACATACAAAATAACCCAATGAAGTCAAACTTTCCGATCAAAAATCAGTGTCAAGTCATAAAAGTTGTTAATGGGTGCTTTCTATTTTGCAAAGATGAATCTGTGGAAATTTTAGACAAACTCAAAAAGACGAAACACCTTTCTCTTTTGTTTGTTAAGAAGTTTAAAGACTGGTTAGGCATTTTCTCATTACTCTATGATAAATCACTTGTTCATGTTGTGCTATTATTAAAAATTTGCTGTTGTGACTGAAAGAAGCTCCCGATAAATGCTCTCTTTTTCAAAGATCTTTTATTTTGTGAGCTTTTGTTCACCAGTGTCAACTCTCTGTTGGACCAGTTAAAACTTTTCTGCTTTTAAAAAGCAACAAACTATTAAGAACAGGAAGCCCTTATCTTTATGTCTCGACTCCTGACATTTGGACAGAGATGCTGCTGTTTTCAAAGCTGTTAACAAGGAAACACAAGCAGAAAGCATGACTCAAGGTAAAGTTCAAAATGTTATGGCATCAATCTGAATCGGTCAGGTTACGCTGCGTTTTGCTGAGTGTGAGTCCGTCTTTAATTGCAGAGCATAATGATACCTCGTTCCATGAACCACCACAACTGTGCTTGCACTTAATGCAGAGCGGGTCTGAACCGCACCGTTGAATACTCTCTCTCTCTCTCTCTTCTCTGCTGTTTGGCTGAGTGGGCTTTATGAAATGTGAAATTGAAGCCGACAACCTTAGCGAGCGCCTAGGAAGCTGGCAAATCACCACAGAGGCATTAGTGTGACATGAACCAAAACCTCTGAAGGAAGTTGGGTTAATTTACAGCTGTCTCTGCAGGATTTCCCTGGTAATAAATGATCCCACCGTCCGCAATTTGAAATGAAAATAAAAATAACAAGGAAAAGGGTTCAACCTTTGATTCAAATGTCTCGAGTGATTTGTTAAGGCATCACTGCTGATATAGTCAGAGGCATGCAACATGATCAGTCATATTCAAAGGCGTCTAAAGAAGACATTGCCAGAGGTCACAGCTACCTGCATTGCAGATCTGTGAGGCTTTGGTTCCAGCACTGACGGAGGTTCCTGTACTGCAGTTACTGGTTTTAAAACCACATTCATCATTTTAAACAGCTCATTCTCTTTTATTATCTTTGAAGTAGTCAATCTTATCTGTACAAACTTACTCCCAGTTTTCTCCTTAAAGGGACACTATGCAACATTTTTCAGTTAATTAATGTGTTCCATAACGTTATGGATGACTAAATTAGTCATTTCAGGTTGAACAAAGGTATTCTCGGCCGCCCTGGTGGTCTGTGGGGGAAATACTGCACTTGCAACTGCAGGAGCACCGACCCGCACCCACAGGCTCAGAAGTCTCGTGAGAGTCAGTCTTGCTTTACGGCGAGAACTGCTACACGCCCCCAGTTAAAAGCATTCTCGTTGCTAGCACAGTGGCAATCTTTGTGCAGTTATGCTACGTTCACGCAGCAAAAGCAGCAAAAGCGTGTCTGCTGCTTCATTTTTGCTGCTTGTACCAGTTAGTTCTGACGCGTGGCTGAAGCAGCTTTGCTGCTCTGGCTACGCGGTGCAAAAGTGTGTCTGAGGCGCATTGGGCGGAGCTTCACTATCCTTTCTCTGCCTTGCAGCTATATTTGCTGTGATCAGTGGGAATAAAGTAGTTTTAATATGTGTTTAAGTGAGAAAATACACCTGAAAACGTAATCAGTGCCGTCAGTTCATTCAGATTATTATCCTGCCTTCAATATTTTTTCTGAGCCGCTCAGACCCCCACATACCAGCGGGGCGCCGACAGTATGGATCCCTTCATCAGCAGCGGTTCACCGCGGCAGCTGGTAGGTGTTTTTCATCTAAATAATCCAAACTGCATATTCTGCCGGCAGATTTCTGCATTTTAAGTTAATTTAGGCGTCAATAAACTGTTTAAGAGGAGAGATCATCAGCGCTGTGTCTCTCTCCCTGCGTTAAACGCACCCGATGCGCTGCTTCAGCTGCTCAGACGTGCTGCGCCTGGTGCTCAAAACGCGCCGCGGGACCTTTTGCTGCGCCTTGACGCGCGTCAACCATTGACTTTGCATGGAAACTCGCTGCTTCTGTCGCGCCAGCTACGTCCAGTGTGAACGCAGCGTTAGTCATTCGCTGCTAAGCTCAAAACAACCGCGCCTGGCTTGACGGAGAAACCAGGAGAACAGCTGTGCATATTTACGACAGTGCACTTTTACTTTCGCCCTCTGGAGGGAGCCTCGCTGGAAAACCAACACCGGTTGCATAGTGTACCTTTAATTTATAAACAACATTCTCCTGCATGCATTAATATTCAGACCTTGCTGACATTTTGAGGCAGTTTTGCTTCAACCTGCTTTTTCAAAACTGCCAAAGGGCATCAGTAAAGACTGCGGAGACTGAAGCCATCATTTAATTTTTAGGTTTTTGGATCATCGTTCAAGCGTGCTGTGTGTTCAAAGCTCAGTGAAAGCAAAATAAAAACACAATGTTATAGCTAAGCTTCCTATTTAAATTAGACTTATTTCAGAGATTTTCTTTTATTTACAATGATTAATATGACAAATGATGCAGCAAAATATGATGGTGACATTACTGTCAAAAAATGAAAGAATGACTGGAAAATAGGGACTGATGATGATAAAATGAAATGGTTTTAATGAGAAATGACTAAAGTCAAGTAGCATCTATTTTCCTGTAATAACAGTTAACACACAATCCATCCCCTACAGCCATTTGCCTCCTCGGAAGACATCTGGCGACATGTCCTGCTCCTTCACTTTCCCAGGCCTCTCTGTGAACTTGGCGCATTTTTCCTTTTTCCATTTCCTCACACAATAAATGGGCTGATAAACAAACCGTTTTTGTCTTTCTGTCACAAAAAAACAACAGATGTTCACAGCTGCTCCCGGGTTGTCTTTCTGGAAGGTATCTGGTTCAGAAATTTGAGTCCCACTGCTCTCCAAGAGGATGGGTTAAATGGAGAGGTAAATTTCTCCAATGTGAGATCAATAAAGTGAAATTATATCAAATATTAAATTTTAAAGCAACCTTGAATATATATCTCTTCCAGGCAAAACATCAAAAGATGTACAGATTGTCTTGTTTGGGGTGAACGTCAATGGAGACTTGGGTTAACAGGCAATTGGCAGCAGGAACCATAAAAAGAATTAGAAATTGATTTTTATTTTTATTATTAAAATGTATTTTAAAATCAATTTCCTTTGTCCTTTAAAAGTAATGAGCACAAAGACAACCTGTTACATGGACTGCCTGACTGACTGTGATACATGAATGAAGAGGTTAATAGTAAATCAGGTCTCTGCAGCAGAAGTTGTCCGGCTAAACGAATGCTGAAGATTGCAGCCTAAATTCAAAGAGCGCATCTGACATCATTTCAGGGCATATTGACTTATCAAATGACTGCCCACACTGTTTTTTTTCTTACACTTATATTTTATATTGTGCACATATAACACTGAGCTGAACAAAGATTGTATTTTTAGAGCACCCAGGAGGGTCCTAATTTTTTAACTACGGTAGGTCATGTGTGACTAGGTGGCTTGTATGAGAATTATAACGAGAATAAAGGGGGAGGTAAAAGATAAAAAAGGTATTTATATAGAAAATGAGAGACAAATAGAGCAAGAAGTAGTAGTAGTAGTAGTAGTGCTGATATCGATTTAGAGGAAAGACTTTGGCCTTTGTCAAACAGGAGGATGGTGCAAATAAGAAGAATGCAAAACTAGAGTTTTAATTTAATTCTGGCAATCCAAGTGTTGTTTTGAGTTTATTCAGGGATGTTTAAAATCCATCACTCCCAAAAAGTTGTCCAGGTTTTTCTTTACATAAAAAAAGTCTTCCCACATTTCTGGTAATAAATACTTTGGGATTAATGGTGGTCCTGGCTGTTCAGGTTCATGTTGAAGCTGCCTATACAACAGCTGCCACGTAGGTCTGCCTCTAAAGCCCACCCACTTTTTTTATATTTTGGTAAAAATGCTAAAGCAAATTGTTTACATAAAAGCTCATATAAATGGGTATGTTTTGTAAAAGTTCTCCACTAAATCCTATTCCTGCGTTATTAAGATTTGCTGACTTCTTTTCCATTTTTTCTTTGTTTCTATTTTAGGATCCATTTTAAGAGAACCAGAAACAATTTTCCATGACATAGTTTTGTTATATTTGGTTTGGAAAGTTTACGGCATGTTAGAAAGCTGCCATGAAGAGCGAAGGCAGGAATCTCCTGTCAATAGTTCAGCAAACTTACAGCAACATGTCCGACACAAGTTAAACACAAAACATGGACATGAGACTGGTCCAAATATGGGGTTGAAGGCACTTAGAGCTTTGGAAAACAAAGAGAGTTTCACTGCTGATGTTTCTGGCTTCTGAAGTTTTTCATATTTCCTGCTTACACACATGTTCATTTAAAAAAAAAAAGGTTCTCAAGCAAAAAACAAATGTTTAGTACTTTATTAATGGGATCAATCTACAGAAAACAAAAATCTTTATCTTAACTTGATTCAGGAAAAGGATTTTTTTGTATGAAAACGTTATTTGACATTGCTAAGTGTTAAGAAAATTGTTAAAAACGGCCCAAGATAGTCCACAGGAGAGTTTTTAAGGATTACTAATCATAAAAGTATGAAGTGTCTGCTCACGGGTAGGAGCAGGGGGAGTTTACTTGATTATTTATGTTAAACCGAGTAAAATCAAGCCTTATTTTAGGCAACAGAAGCTCCTCAGCTCATAAAGGCTACACTGCATAGGAAGCTCCTCAGGGCTCTATCATGGAGCTCCAAGATACAGGTCAATTTATTTTTGGATTTATGAGTTTACTTTAAGAAGATACACCATAA